ATTAAAGTACAACAACTGGACTTTATTGAGCATGATTTCATCATGCTTTTAACACAAATGACTCAGAACCTGATTACTCAGACCTAACCTTATGAATTACCAACATTTTTTTTATTAAAAATGTTTTTAAATGTATTTTTTATGTATGAGTGTTTTGTCTGAATGCATGTGTGTCATCACATGTATGGTTGGTGCTCTTGGAGGTTAGAGAGGGCACCAGACGCCCTGGAACAGGAGTTAAGGGTGGTTGTGAACCATTATGTGGGTGCTGGGAATTGAACTGTGTCCTCTTCGAGAGCCAACAAGTGCTCTTAATCGCTGAGCTATCGTCCCAGACTCCACCATCATTTTCCCACTCATTATTTCTCTAATTCATTTATTTTTCATCTTCCCACCCACTCATGCATCGGAATTTTTGATTTTCAGGTTTTGCAAGGAGCAATAGTTGCTGCTCCTCATAACACCTTCATTCAATTTCATCGGTGTGATTATTTCATGTTTGTGGAAACTCAGCTTATCCTTAGGGTCCACAGAATCTTCTGTCTCCTAGGACCAAAACTGTCTGAGAGTGAGTGTTGAGATATATACGGGCAGTATCTGTTTCAGTATAAGGAGAAAATTTGCTGATTATTTTGGCTACTATAAAATTCATATTTTTTATTTTGCAGAGTGCAAAGTCATTGTACCATTTTTTATTTAAAGTTAAAGTTCATGCTGGCCAGTGGAAGTTCATTAATTCACCTAAAATGTACCTTTAACCTTTTGTGCTAGTGTTGTTGTGATTCGCTTTATTACAGCTGAAAATGAGCTGGCATTTATGGAGATGTGTACTTGAGAAATAGGTCTCATGTTGCTTATTCCTTGATAGTTAGACTGGAGCAAAGTACATGCTGTCCTAGGCAGACAGCCTGGCTCCCCAGGGTGTGCACTAAGTGGAATTGCGTCACCCTAGGCCTTAGCACATCTTTTGTTTGCTCAGGCAGTCTTGCTTTTTTCCTTCCTTTCAACGTACTCAGTATCATGTAACATTTCCTATCACTTTCCTTTGCCCAACAAAGACTCACACTAGAATGGAAACTCAAGACAATGTCATAGCAAAAATACAAGCAAAAGCCAGTAAGGATTAAAAGAGTTTCCTGACAAAATAAGAAATGTATGTATAGTCTGATATCTGCAGACACTCTTCAAATAGATCATGACTTAGTAAATATGCCTTTCATAAATATATCTGCCATAAATTAAGGAATTTGAGATGGAGATTGCTTATAAATGCACACATATTAAAAATTAAATATTAAAACCCAATATTTGAGGGTGAAAATGAAAGAGATGGAATTCCACTGGATAAGAGAGAATCATTACTGTTTTGAATTTCATGGGGTCTGTGTTACTAGCCAGTAAGAGCAGTTAGTTTGAATAGGATTGATTAGCTGTTTTTGAAAATCATAAAAGACAATGTGTTCATTTAGAATGATCTAACAATTATTCTTGTCTCTGTCATCTAGGCTATATCCATTCCCATATCGCACACTGTGGTATTAAGATTCATTACCAAAATCACTCTTGGTGTGAACAAATTCAAAGCAAAGGGAAATGAAGTACTTGGGATATTGGCAGCCAGGCCCTTGAGTGTTTCAAATACCATAGAGGTTCAAGCCCACATGCTGTTTTACTTGCTGGTTTTTACCTGGAATAAGCTTTTTATTTTCTGAGTATTTCTGTTTCTCCATCTGGAAATGATGAGGAAAATGAAAACACCTACTTTTTGACATTATCTCCAGGACTAAATGCATTGGTTCAGTGGAAAAGTGTTGTGACTGAGTTCAGTAATTGGTAGACATGACATTTATATCTGGTTAGGCAGAAATGAAGAAAACTCTCTATGTTCACTCCCCTTGAATGGGCAGATTGCTTATAGGTGCTGTGTTCTTTGGGAAGGTCCTTGTTCCCACGCATTGCAAAGTGAGAAGGTAAGAATCATTAAGGAAAGGGCAGACTATACTTCAGGGCTCAAAAGTCTCAGTTCAAGAGAGCTGCAGAGAAAGTCTCTGTCGTCTGGCCTCTGTATTGAAGCAATTTCAAGAGGTCACATTGCTCGTTCCTCTGAGCTGGGTCAATTGGACTTCACCGCTGTTCCCTGTCTTTCATTGAAAATCATTTGTTTAAGGAGCTGTGCAAGGTGTCTTACAAATGGAGTTAGACAAGGGTTTTAGCACATTCTATAAATTGGATTCTGTATACTTGTAAATTATGCTGACAGGCACTCTGAGAACACAATGAGGTCAACCAGCCTTACTAAAAATGGCCTTTTGTGCTGAACACAAGCCCAAAACAGAGAAGAGATCCCAAAGATACCTAATTAACATGGACAGAAAACGCTTGCTCGATTCGATCCAAGACCAGGATTAAATTTCAATCAATCTTTTAAAAATATTTATTTTTATTATTTTTAATTATGTTTATGCGTGTCTGTCTGAAGGATCAGCTCACTCTGGGGCTAGAGTTACAGGTGTTTGTGAACAGTCTGGCCTTGATGCCAGGAAGGGAGCTCTTGTTGGTGAAAGATCAGCATGGCTTCCTAACACCTGAGCCACTTCTCCAGCCCCTACGGAACCACAGCAGGAATTAGTGGTCAAAACTGGTAAGATGCAGAGTCCCAGGGTTCTACAGATAAGGTTATGAAGAGCTTACCATATGAAAATATATTGCATTTTGTAAGTATAAGAAAATTATTAAAACATAATTTATAATTTTAGTAGCTTGTAGTTTTAGAGGACAAGATATGTATACAATGAAGTGAGACAAAACAGACTGTAAGTACTATGAGTTTAGCCTAAAAGTTCACTGATGGACTGAACCAGTCTATTAAAGTTCAACTCATTCATTATCATCATGGAGTGCCACATCCTTAGATGGAGCCCTCTTCATAGGATATGCCAATATTGATAAGCCCAGTTACTGACTGATTTCTACACTATAGGGTATAGGATGAAAATGGGCTCCACTTGAGAACCAGAGGGTCTGAATTAAAACACAGACCAACTAATTTTACAGTAGGTGGCTTGATTAAGTAACTCCCATCTCCCAACTTTATTCCAGAAATCAGTGCCATTATTTATTTCCTTCTGCTATCTCATTTCACATGCAATTAATCAACAGATTAGTTCTTATGCATGTCTTGATAAAATCTTATCTCGTCATCCCAAACCCTGTCCTAACCCCAGCTGTCATATGTATTATGGAATGGGGATCCCAAATAATCACTTCCTATCGCCTACAAGATATGTCACTACCAAACAAGACGTTTAAGACTGCAGTGAACTGAAAGCTGTTTTTTTTTTTTAACTTCATGCAATCCTCATCTGTGTTCATCCCCAAGCTTCTCCAACACTAGCCTGTTGCATGACTATGCACTTTTACATGGTAGTTTTTAATGTTGAAGGTTGAAATTTCATCCCCAATCTCACTCCTCCAGTCTCAGCTAGGAAACCAAATGTTTCTCTTTCAACACTTTGTATGGATACCATCTTCTTTATGATACATGCATTGAGGACACTGGACACAACAATCCTCACAGCATCACTCAAGGAAATTGTAGCCACAGTACATCTCTTTATCCCTGTATTAGCATACCACCATCTGTATAGGTGTCAATAATCGTGAGAGGACTAAAAACCAGAGGACAAATGAGGGACATACACTTTGCCTTTGAAGTTTCCATTCTTCATACAATGTCTACTGTGGAGAAGCTGTGTAAAAAATACTTCCAGTAACAATGATGTCAGATTTTGTGAGAAATGGAAAGAACCATGCTTTGGGGTAGAGGGTAGCATATGTTGTAGGACCAGAGAGACTCTGAAAATGTTTCAGTTATGTAAACTTGGGATGCTTGGAGATGTACATACATAGTTAGCGTGTCAGTATGGGTGTCCTTTAATGTATAAATCTTGGCCAGCCTAAGCTTTGTCTTTTCCAGTCAAGACTCTTGATGTAGTACTCCTGAGCTTGATGAAGAATTATTTATTGTATTATTTGGTTTAACAAAAGATATTCATCATCTCTCTTAGAGGAAGAAGGTGTACTTTGAAAAAGACCCTGCCCTTATCCTGAAGTATGTTGTTCAAATTAAAATACTTGGGCTTTTAGGTGACTCACAGGGCTTCCTTCCAACTCGACAATGTATTTCACAGAAATATTGGTATTCACGTTGTATATTCAATATCTCCTGAGCATCCTACAAAGTACGTAAGTATAGTTTTGACCTGTAACAGAAAATATGTGACAGCCCTTGACACTTCACTGCTTTTTACTTCTGCTTGCACACAGCAAGTCTTCCCAGGCTGGCTGCAAAAGTAACAGCTTGGACATCTTCCCACCCCAAATCCTGTCTGCGTCAGGTTATCAGTGGTAACTAACATCCTAGCCCCTCTGCTAGATTTCTTGTATGAGATTTATTAAAGGTAATTACTATAATACTTCTTGAAATGATCGTTCTCATCTTAATAATTGCACGTTGCCAGGATATTTTAAAAAAGAGAGAGGCATGGACAGCAGTAAAGACACGAGTCACAGAAATCTGGACCACAGTGGCGAAAAGAAGGAAGAAATCTAGACTGTAGCAGTCGACTTTAAGAAAACCATTGCCTATTATTGTAGAGACAACAAGCAGCTTTAGTATAAATGTTTTGATTTGGCAATACATAATGGTTTGGAACCAGGAAAATTGTCTTTGAGGCTTCAGTGTTTTATATCGTATTTAAAAATAAAATTACAAAGAACTCAATGGAGAACCCTGTGATATCTGTAGATCTTCAATCTGAAAATCCCTGCATAAGCAGAAGGTATTAGGGAAAAACGAGGTGCTCTGGAAGGATCTAGAGGAAGCACTTGGAGCTGGAAGCTCGCTCAGAGCCTCTGAGCCCCAGCTAGAGGCATAACAGACAGAATTGAAGGCGTGGGTAGAAACGCAAACTTGGAAGCAGAGAGCTGGCTCGCTTTTGTTTCATCTCTGTACCAAATGCCCAAGGGTTGCTTCCAGCCCTTGGGTGTATGCGCTTTGGGAATTTTCAGTCAGTTCTCAGAGTGTAACGCCAACTGACTTGCTCAAGGCCAAGCCAGATAATTTTTTCTCCTCCTCCTCCTCCTTCTTATTTTAAAGATAAGCAACTTTGTTTTCTCGGCAAAACCCACCCACTTGTTTTCATTTCTGGCTTTCTCTCATCTCCAGCTAGTGAAGGCAGAGCATGTGCCCAGGAGAAGACCACCCTGGGCAGTGAGGACCATCCTCTTTGGAACTGCGGTTGTAGCTGCCAAGGAGTAGCCAACAAGCACCAGATTTATGTGCACTTTGAAAGAAGCACCTTTACCATTGGCTTTTTGAGCGGCGCTGTCGCTAGGGAGCGAGCACCGCCTCGGGGAGCAGCCTGGGCACTGGCTCCTGGCAGCCCCCGAGCAGGGCGCACACCGTGGCGCGCTTTGGGCGGCTCCGCGCGCTGTCGCCCCTGCGGCCGGCGCTGTCCCCCAGCTCGGCTTCCAGAGGCGCTGCACAGACTCTCGCCTCTGGCCACCGGCTCCTACTGCTGCCGCCCAGAGGACAGACGAGCCTCTGCCTGTGATTTCCCCACGGCGCGGCGCTGCGGAAAGCGGAGCGGGTGGGCGCGAGCTGCAGGACGCGATGGAGTTCTCCCCTCGCCTCGGAGTTGCCTGAGTTAGTAGAGCCTCGCGGGGTTCCCTGCTCCCTGCTCCCTGTTTCCTTCGGGCTCGCGGCTCATCATTCACTCGGTTGCTGCCCACCCACCGCTGTGCCAGGGAGCCCAGGCTCCAAACCTCCTGTCCCGGGTACATTTGGGGGCAAAGGAGGGCTATACCCAGCCAAGGCGCACTGTCTTCTCTCCGCTGACCCATCTTTTTCTCCATGGCGTCTCGTCAACAAACCCGAATCCAGGCTTACCTGGAGAAAAACAAGATCGGTCCTCTGTTTGAGGTAAGGAGCCCCGGTGGGGAATGATCTCGCTGTCTTTTGGGGTTGGGGTGCAGAAATACAATCAGAATCCCCCTAAGTGAAGGTAGGGTGCAGAGCAAATGCGCGCGCGAGGGAGCCCTGTCCGGCTAGCTGTTCTGGAACGCAGCTGGCAGGCACTTGGCCAGTTACCTGGACACTGACAGGTGAGCTCTGGAGGGTCCAACCTTAGTCTGGCAGGACAATTGGAGCCATCCGACTGTCCTGCATCTAGTAGCCATATGGTAGGGCTCACATAGGGTGAGACATGTTCAGTTCAGATGTACATCTTCAGACTGTCTTACACACACACACACACACACACACACACACACACACACACACACCTGGAATTCACATTCTCTTGAATTTTAATTTTTTTCTTTTAAATATGGGCAGTAATAGAACCTGAAAAGATGGAGGAAGTGCCCATGGAGAAAGAATATGTTAAACTGGAGGGAAGCTGGTCCATTGGGAACCTGATAGTGATCTGTGGCTGTAACTAGAGCCCTTTGCAAAGCAGAACCTACCTGTGTTCAGAGAGGAAAGGAGCAGAGAAGGGTTTTAGGAAAGCATGCCTGTTTTCGGAGGAGATTGTCTTGAGTTGTTTTCATTCGCCTTCAAATAATTGACGACAAAACAGGGGAGGTAAAAAGAGCGGAAGCAAGAGCAAAATTGCGACCTAGGGGCAGAAAACTGGGTACTCGCTCGCTAAAGTCCTCAGGTTGCCAGGGTGCTGGCTGGGTGCTGGAGATTGGGAAGTGAGGTCAGGTATTCGGGGGCAAGGTTCACCAGGGAGGGATGCCCCAGGTTTCTTACTCTCCTGGTCCACTACTCTAGATGAGCACCAGATGGGGTGAGGCAGAGGAGGGACCTCCTTCCCTCTCCCAACACACACACCTGGAAAGCAGCTGCAGATCTCTTAGGCTGAAGAGCTGGGGAGAAAGGGGAAGAGACAGTACTGGCATCCGAGAATAGAGCAGCTTCTTGGACACCAGAGTGGCAGAGATCTGCAAAGAGAGAGAAAGAACAGTAATGTGAATTAATGTCTCTGTTTGAAACGGCTCACAGGGCAAGGGGGTCAAGTAGGTTTTTTTCCCTGGGGAGGACGGGTTCCAAGTAATAGCTTTTCAAAATCCTGAAGTTTTCCTGCCCAACCTTAAGTTAATGCGGTAATATCTTGAAAAGTCTGAGCATTGTTCCTACGAAAACTCTGTTAAAGAGACCACAAAGTCTTGCGGGTCTCTTATTTTTTTATTTATTTTATTTTATTATGTTTAGTTTTGTTTTGTTTCAAAACGCTGGCAAAGGAACTCTTGCTTCTGCTAAATTGGTACCCTCCAGTCCTGTGAGCCTTCTTTTACCCTTAGTGTAATCTTTACAAATTACACGCAGCCTCACATCAGCAAAACACGGAAAGTAGAAGCTGAATATCCAATAGCATATAAACTGCATCAAAATAACAACACAAACACATTTAGACTGTATTCATCGGCTGGCATCCTGCAATATAAAGCACAATTAGCCATGGAAAAATAAGGGGATTTCTTTTAATAGATACCCTCCTCACATTTTAAAACTCCCATTGTTCTTTCCAAGTGATAATAATGGAATTAACTTTCCACATATTCAGCTTGATATTTATGAGTTGTCTTCTCCTCTTTAATGATCAGCGGCTAATTCCTCACTGAAGTGACAGAGGAAACTGTTTCACGAAAACTTCATCTCTCCTCGTCTAAACCCAACACAATTCTTTGCTTTGTAGTTTACTGAATGCACATTACAGAATCCCTGTTGGCCTGGGTTGAAGGGATGAGTAGTTAGGTTTGAAGGGCTGATGTGCCCTTTCCATAACTGAAGTGATCAAACCATAGGAAGTCCTCTGCTAAGAGCAGGCTGGGCTCAGATGCCCAGGCAACAATGGTGTGATCCAGCTCGGCTCTGAGAGCAGAGTTAGCCAATGTTACACATCTGGAGACTCTCACCGATTTGTCATCGATTTCTCCGCAAGTTAGAGTCAGTGTAGAAGTCAGGTGTGGTGGCTACACTTGTCATACTGGTACTTGTGAGGCTGCAGAACAGTGGTCTGAGCTATACAAATAATTCAAAGGTAGTCTGGGCTCCAGAGCAATGCCTGTCACAAATACAGCAAGCCCCTAAACTAACCAAAGCAAAGCAAAGCAAAGCAAAGCAAAGCAAACAAACAAACAAAAAAAAACAAAAAAAACAAAAAACAAAAAACCCCCAACAACCAAATAAAAAAACAGAGTGCAGAATTACCATCTATGAGATAGATGTTGGTGATCTAAAATTCCTGTGATTCAGTGATTCTCAGAACTGACTTGGAAGCTCAGTGGAGGCTCCCTGGGATGTGGACCAAGAGTACGACAACAGATTGCTACAATTCTTGGGCCACATTTTCAGAAATAATAATTCAAGCTTCAATTTCCTTTAATAAACCATCCATTAAAATAGGCATCTCACATGCTTACCACCCACACTGTTGTCTGGAGGGTCAAGGGTTAGTAGTACAGAGTTCTTCAGTTATCAAAACATGCAGTATCTGAAAGTGTGTCTCACTGAGGGTTTTGTGTGTGTGGAATGTTAGGAGAAAACTCTTTATTTCTTTCAATAGTGAAATACTTTAAAGAGAGCTTATTACATTTATTTAAAGAATATCAAATAGGAAAGATAACCTCCTCTTTGGTTGGATGTTATCTGGATTTTCTGGATTTTTTTTAAGACTACACAGCCATAGCTATCCTGGCTAGAGCTTTATAGGTAGACCAGGTTGGCCTACCAGGGATCCACTTGCCTCTACCTCCCAAATGCTGAAATTAAAGCCTTGCTTCACTATGCCAGGCTTGAATTTTTTAAACTTAAAAATTTACTTTCTCAGTTTCTGCATGCAGTTTATCTCGTAGTATTGGCTTTATCACCAATATTTTGTCATGTGTGATGCTTTAAAAAATGCTGTATTCATCTCCAAAATAAATTGAAACTAACTTTGATTTGAAGTGATCTAGGAACATACATTTAAACTGCCTTTAAATATGACTAAAATCAGTTTGAAGCATTACAAACTATGCCTTAACAATCATTGCATAAGAGTCCTGAGTGATAATATTTTAAAAAATTATGAGCACACGTAAGATGAAAATGACTTGCATTCCACAAACTCTGAAATTTATGTAGCATGTAATAATTTCCATTTCCCCTTGGCTTATTAAAGACAGGCAAGCAGTCTGGGCATTTAGTTTATAAGGAGTGTTTCACAGAGCTGTCATACCGTAGAACTGTGACTTTGCTCACTTTAAAATTTACATGTAAGTTCTTATTTAACTGGTAAGGTATAAAATAGTTCATGTCCCACACAAAAGTGGAGTAGTTTTTTTTTTTTCATTTTATTTTATTTTATTATTTTTTTTTTGGTTTTATTATTATTATTATTTTACAACACCATTCAGTTCAACATAATAGCCACAGAATCCCCTGTTCTCCCCCTCTCGCCCACCCCTCCCCCCAGCCCACCCCCCATTCCCACCTCCTCCAGATCAAGGTCTCCCCCGAGGACCGGGGTTGACCTGGTAGACTCAGTCCAGGCAGGTCCATTCCCCCCTCCCAGACCGAGCCAAGTGTCCCTGCATAAGTCCCAGGATTCAAACAGCCAACTCATGCAACGAGCCCAGGACCTGTTTTATAACGTATGTACTGTGTGTGGTGTGAAAACAGAGTTGTATCAACCCCCAAGGCCAGTATGTTGATATTAAAAAAAAAAATAGTGCTTAGAAATTCTGCACCTGAATTGCCTGACATTTATTTGCATAGGGAATTAACGTGGCCCCTTTTATCCCTAGTAGAAATTATTTAACTTAGTTCCTGAGAGATTATGTGATGTGGAGCATCAAAATCTCTCATTTTTCATACAAGAGCTATGCACTTGTTGGTTTCCCCCATTTTCATTAAATATACAGTAATTATTTACTGGTTACTGGTTGGAAAGATACTCAAGGTAGCCATGCATGTTGGTCCTGGCTTCACCTGAGAGTATGACATCCTGAGCTAGTTCAAAGTAGAATAGTAAGGACACTCATATATTTTCACAGAAATTTCAAGTCTATGTGTGCTGACTGTGCAGCCAGCTAAACTCACTGTATTTCTTTGAGTGTGGTCTAACTCTCTACAAGTAGAATGGAGTCACTTTCTCATCACGTTCATAGTTCAGTGTCCTACTCCTCATATGGCCTAAGTTTGTATGAACTAATTTGCTGCATACAGGGTGGGTTGGACTCATGACCAGATCTGGGGCATCCCGGGACCCATCTTTGTACATTACGCTGTTGTACTGCTTGCTCATCTCTGGTACCTCCACATATGGAACCCCAAACGCCAGTCTGCTTCCATCCTTCCCAAGCTCATGACTTTCCTTGGTTAATATAAGTTATAGTCTGGAAAGCATACCCTGCTCTTGTTACGGAGCCGTCCTAGATGAGGAGATGCACACGGGGTGATGGCTGTGGTTGGCATATGGCTCTATAGGGTACAGGAGGCTACAAGTCACTCCTTGCTAAACTCTGGAGGTGAGCTCCATGCCCACATAATTCTGAAAGATTTATGTCATTTTAGTAAAATGCTTCCAGGGGAGAAGTCATAAAAATAACAGCTTGATACTTAGAAAGTCTTCAAGTTAATGATAAGCCAATACATTTTTGGAGCAACTTGTCAGAGATTACCCCCCCCCCCAGTTCTTGAATTTATAAAGACTTTTCTTGTTTCTAAATTTATATTAATCTTTATAATCCTGGAACAGTTAGAGAACCATACATAAGATAAGATATTCATTAAAATAAAGTTTTTCTAAGTCAAAGTTAATACATTTCTATTGATTTACCTTAAAATAATCTTAAAAATGTATATGACATGTTTTAGGATATTAGTCCATTTATTTTTCGATTATAACTCATTCTGTCTTCTTTTCAGTTAGT